TTATTTACAGACCATTCCTGTGTTTTTCTCTTTACATCATGTCTTATCTACTGAGATCAACCTCCCCCTCCCCCCGAGTCCAACAGGGAAAGTCTCCTGCTGTGAGGTGCATGTTTGAACAGCTAAGACAGGAAGATTTCAGAGGCTCATAGGTAGGCTGTCCAGATATTTTCAGGAGTGAGGGCCGAGGTGCCTGACAGTGTATCCCCAGCAAACCTATTGTTCTCCTACAGTACAGCGCGCTTGCCAGGCGCTCTTCTCTGAGCAACGCTTTACTGGCATGTTTTTTGCCGTGCATAGAGGTTAAAAAATGTTCAAGTTTTCAGATTAAGACGCGAAGTCGCAGAGCTTGTCAATGGCACTTTTGGCTGAAGCAATTAAGTAGTAGTCCGGATTTACTACTTACTACGCTCATCGTCCAGACAGAGCGCACAAAAGAGAAAGTGGAATTTACCATATTGCCCCCTCCCCCTGGTCTAGGAGCAAAGTAATCCATTTTTTTTTCCACATATTGGTCATCTGTAGGTATTTTTGGAGAGGCTGTGTTAGGCACGTCTCTGTGTGATCGGGCACTGAATGTGTTTGAAAAGGCTTCAGTCTTGTTGTGTTTCCTGTCTTCTGGAAACACTTGTCAACATAAGCTGTTTTCACACATGCACTCCTCAAAATTTCAGGAGGATTGTCCCTGAAATTCTCCTGATCTGGTTGTTCACACATGCGCCTCACAGTCGGAGACTATCCCAGTGGACAGGAGGGGTGGGGAGGGAGGTCTACTGATGCAAAACTTAAAAAAGAAAGACACGGAAGTGGCTACAGAGTCGGAATATTTGCTTTTATATCAATGCTATATCCCACTCCCACTCCCTCGAGGTCAATTCTCCTGAATATTAACTGCTGCTCTCTCACATCAGTTCACTTGGACTTCATGCGGACAAAATACTTTGGGGCTGGCAGGAGAAACTTTGCATAAAGTCCCCAAAGACTTCAGGAGTCTTTCAGGAGTTTTGTGTAAGTGCGAACGAGGCGATAAAGAACTTTCCCAGGATTGTTTGGAAGAACTGGACCTGAATCCTCCGTCATGTTTCTGCTCTCTGAATGTGAACAAACTCCTGCAGAAGGATCAACATCTGGTTTAAACGCTGAATCCAGCTGCCCATTAACGAATAATGTTCAGCTGTCCACTCACTTATGTCCGTTTGCTGTTTGAACACTCAGCAGATCACAAATGATGTCATCCATCTTTACTCTGCACAGACACCCTTCTGCTCCCAGCAGGCCTCACTGAGGGGGGGGGGGGGGTCGGGCAGGTTGAAGCCTGCCAGAGGCAAACCCTCCAGAGGAAAACATCCAGCACACACACACACACACACACACACACACACACACACACACACACACACACCCCTCCACCTCCACCTCCACCTCCACCCCAGCCTAAGGAAACCCCCCTCCCACTACACGAGTACATGTTGAATAAAGTGAAAGCTGAGCCTCCTTCAGGGGCGGCGGGACGAATCATTTCAGGGTAAATGATGAAGAGTTCAGCTCGGTGTGCATCAGTTTAACCTGCAGAGGAAACAAACAGCTGCTAAATGGTTCCTAGTTACAGTTACAGACAGAAAAAACTCCAGCAGGGCTCAGAAACAGAGTCCACATCGATAATCTGCTGCAAACATGATCTCCATATCAGGAATCAATATTCTCCTTCTGTCTGTTTTTAAACCAGTAACCACACACTCTTTTCTCCTTCATTCTTCTTCTGTTATTACTCCCTTCCTCCCTCCTTTGTCCTACTCCCCCCCTCCTGCATTCTGCTATTCCTCACACCTGAGTCCGACTTCATCATGTCTTTGACCACACCTCTTCCACCATATCTCTTCCTCCTTCTGTCAGCTGAATCTCTCACTTCCATCATCTCTGTTTCTCTCCACAGTACCCCCCACCCCACGCTCCCCCTCTCCGGGGCTCCTGCAGATCCCCTGGTGCAGCTGCAGGAGGAGGGGGAAGGAACGGGGGAGGTGTTGGGGGTTGAAATTAATGAGAGGAGCCTGAAGGTATTGACTTTCCTGGGAAAACACAGCTCTCTAAAAATCAGTGGCCGAGCGCCGCAATAACTCAGCACCCATCGATCCCACAACATCACCCCCTCCTCACCCACCTCCCCCTGCTCCTCCCTGCAGGCCGCATTGATCCCAGTATTACAACCTCAGAGGCCGGCGGTGTGGACCTAGCAGCACTGCCCAGGTCTTTTCACACCGGGAGCTCTGCTGAGGAGGGAGTAATGCAACCAGCAGAGCTAAAAAAAAAAAACTACTACAAACTACAAACCTGGAGAATAAAAAAAAATACAAAAATACAAAAAACTCTGCAAAACTTGATAGCTAAGATTCATCACACTGCAGAATCATAGAGTACAACAGAGTAAAAATAAAAACAAAAAACTACAAAACCTCAAAAGACACCAAAACTGGCAAATGATAGAACTCCAAAAAAAAGTACTGCAGAAAAAAAACCTCAGACTCTTAAAAGAATTCAAATCTGCAGTTTAAAGAATTCTCTAAAAAAACTGCAAAAACTACTAGAGGTTAAAGAAAATTACAAAAATGGCAAACCTAAAAATCTAAAAACTACAAAATCCAGAAACACAATAAGGCAAATATACAAAACATTTAAGAACCAATGAAGAGACGTTATAAAGTCTCCCCTCCCTCTCCCACTCTCCTCTCCCCTCCTCTCCTCTCCTCTCCTCTCCTCTCCTCTCCTCTCCTCTCCTCTCTCCTCTCCTCTCCTCTCCTCTCCTCTCCTCTCCTCTCCTCTCCTCTCCTCTCCTCTCTCTCTCCCTCTCTCTCCTCTCTCCTCACACTTGCTATTCAGCTGAGAGTTTCTCGCCTTTGGCTGATTTTTCAGACTGAAGCTGCAGGATCAAATCCTGAAACTGCTTTAAGCTGCAGAGAGGAAGAGAGAAGGGAATTCTGGGAAATCCCTGGAATCTGACTGCTCCTTGATTCACCCTCAGCCGCACCTCTTCTGAAAGCTGCTGAGAGGACTAGGAGTCACAGTCAGAGGAGTCAGATTCAGAGGCAGAGATTGTCATTGCAGCTGAACTGATGCTCATGTGAAACCACAACTTCAGGCTTAAAGCAACACAATGTAACTTTTGCATCTTAAAATATAAATTTCAAAGTCAATCTTATAGTACAATAACTTTCAACAGAGAGAATGGCGTGCCTCCCGTGCCCACAGAACGCCTCAGTGGCCTGCATTCAACACTGTCTCACTTTGGCAGCCGGCCGCGGACATCTCACGAGTGCGGATGGCTTTAGGCACGAGTTTATAAAAACTGCAAAAGATGCCATGTAGCCAAATGTTAATGAACTGCACGGCATGCCTGTCACCACAGGTGCAGTTTGGGACGTTTGTAAAAGCCTCTTCACTCTCTCACTGGCAGACAGTGTCAGGCATACGTAGCCATCATTCATCGCTCTGTTTTGGGCTGCATCCTTTCACTTTTATGTGAAGTCTAAGAAAATAGATACAGCCACAGTGGATGTGTAAATCAGACGAACTGCCGAGGTGTGCAAACAATGCGGCCGCCGCGCTGGCAGGAGGAGCGGGGACAAGAGCTGAGTTAGAGGAAAAGTGTGCAACATTATGATGTAGCCACCAGCCAAGAAAAAAACTGGAAGAGAATTGAAAATTGAAAAAGAAAATACTTTCAAACCTTTGTGAGGTAGAATAAACATCAAAGTCTGTGCAGGATAATCCTTTGTTTTATCGATCTTCAGTTTGCATTACGTGAACTGATGATTGATTTAGACTGAGTTCAGATTTTTAATTTTGAATCTAACCTTCATTTTGTTATTAGATACTTGAGTCTCAGAGAAGATATTTTCATTTTTCTTGATATTAGGAAACCCTGAGTGCATCCTACAGCGCGGAAGTCTTTCATTTTCTCTTATTGTCTGATGAGAGGACATTTAGTTTGACCCTAAAATACTATGACATCGGTCCTGTGTGATTTGAAAACATATTGAGAAGAGAACACACTCTAATGGCCGCTGAGATAACACAAGGCTCTATTCACAACATCTCAGTATGAAAGCTAAGCCCATATCTGCAAATGGAATCACAGATTAGCATTGCAAAAGGAGGCGGCGGCAGCCGGACCGTCCATTGTGAGCGTCTGTCTCGTCCTCGTGGCGTCCTGCGGCCCGTCGGAGGAGCGGGGCGCGTCCAACAAAGCCGAGAGCGAGAGGAAGGAAGGAGGCGTGATAAAGAGGTGTTAAACAGAAAGCCCGAACACGCTCGCCTCTTTCACGACCTGACGCAATGACATTTACTTATCGCACTAAACAGCCTTCCATCTGACCTTTCTGCTACTTTGAATGACATCTGGATATTCTGACGGAATAATCGGGACAGTAAGAGATTCAAGAAGGTGATAAGGAGTCTTTGGACGTTCAACTGTGGACAAAGAGTGTGAAGGACGAGCTGCAGAGAGGAGGGGGGGATCGACACATCAGGGAAAATGTTTACTTCACTTTCAGTCTGCAGGAAACTGTTTTACAGTCACAAACACACCTGATCCTTCAGCATAAACACCTTAAACCTTCACTTTAAGCTCCTCCTAAAGCCCACAGAGCGCTAAAAGAACACCTAAAGTATAAATATGATGCTCTTTAGTTTAAATTCTAGTCCACATCCAAAAGTTTCCAAAGAAAAAAACACCATCTGCATTTCAGGTGTAAGTGTCTGAAGTGATGCACAGTACAGTACATGCAGGATTTCTCCCCCTTAAATGTGCTTAAGGGGAATTGTTAAGAGGGAAATAAGGGTTTGGGGGCTGAATGGGGTTCACATAAGGGCCAATGAACCATTCAACACTCATTTAAAACCAGAATAAGTGATTTAACTGGAACGCAAAAAAAATGATTTTCTCTTTATTATCTGTCCTCAAACCTCCAAACTTTTCATTTGACAGACGGCGTTTTGTGTCTTACCTGTGTAGACGAAGCGTCCCGGCGCTCCTTTGCAGAACTGTTTGGATTTGTAGGACAGCGTGACCTCCACCACACCGGGGATGTGACGAGGGGGGGTCTGGACTCGGATGGCGTGAGGCGTGATCAGCTGGACGAATCAAATCACGACAAACACACAAAAATAAAATCTGTGTCAAAACAAAGTCACACGTTTGGAACGGGCACTTTCAAAGCGGGGCAGGTGTGAGGCTTTTCTTTTTAGAACTAGTTCATTTTGTTGGGATGTTAAATAAAAAATGATGTCACACAAAGAGCTGTGAATAAACTCTGCAGTCATGTGATACTGATTAATATCAAAGACCAGGTCACTTATAACTCTTCAAATTCAGCAGCTTGGTGAGTGATTCTAACTCTGAATACACACAGCAGGCAGAAAAAGTACTATGAGTTGAGATAGCTAAGTTAACACTGTTTATGATGGGGTCAAATATCTAGTCTTTGTCTGCTTTGAGTCGATTTGCACATACTAATTAAAATAATGATAACATACAATTCTTGGATAGTTTATTCAAAGGTCTTTCGGTAAGAACACGTTTGTGAAGGCCTTTCCTGGTGGGATTTATCAGTGAAAACAATGAATACTGATGTTCCTTTTAGACAGCACCGTGTCCCTTTTTTCTCTTGTGAGTCCTTGGGGGGGGGCTCAGCTTATTTTAGATACAAGTCATGGGGTGGGGGGGCTCCAAGGAAACAAAGGGTTGGGAACCCTTCATTTATCCCGAGGGACATGTCAGTTTGAAAGCCTTACAGCAAACCCACAGAGTCATATTCTGAATGTTTGGGCCTCAGATTAAGCTGAACATAATTTGAAAAATGCGTCACATTTTTCTGTCCTTAAAGGAAGCTGCGTCCTGTGACAAAACCTTTTATCTACTCTTTAAAGAGTCATTTCTTTCAGCTCTTCAGCTGTTGGATCAGTTTTTTCTGTTGTTAACACAAATCATTTATCTTCATGTTACCTTCAACTTTCATTGCGTTAAAACTGACACATTAATTCTTGCCAATATTCAAACTCCTTCTGCTATTTCAGACGTCTTAGTTTCAGTGCTGTATGTCTCATCAAACAGCTCTGACTGTGAGTGCTGAGACAGTTTTCGGGTCGCTCATGCTGCTGTTATTGACCGCTAACGGCTGAGATTTTTTTCTTCCTGTAACAAACTTTCTTTTAAAACAGTCCGACCGTCTTTCTCCAATCTGGGTCATCATCAGTCTGTGTTCAGAGGGATTCTGGGCTTTGGAGTCCGTCTGCTCGCCGCCTGACGGTGCTGATCAAAGTGAGGAGCTCCGTCAGCGTTGTGTGATGTGCAGCGAGCAGCGTGTGGAGGTTTATCTGTCTCCTTCCCTCCTTCCCTGCCAGGTGTTCTGCTCTTCTGGACCCGCTTCAATATTTCATGTTGCTCCGTATGCGCCGCTCCTCCTGCTCCTCAACGCGCACTCAATCTACATATTTTTGGGGGCATGCAGACCTGAGGTGCAGGTGTTTCTACGAATGTGTGTGAAGATGATGAAGAACATGATGTACTGTACGTGCAGCTGTTTTCAGCGCTCAGACACTGCGACGTATATTTATAGTTATTCTGGAAAGATTCTGTGCATTTTTGAAAAGTCCGACTAAATCAGTCTTGAAAATATGAAATTCATTCACATTTGATAAACTTCAGGTTCAGGAGTCAGAAGGAGCGACAGCAGAAAGATGTATACAGTAATATCCAGCATCAGTTATAGTGAGCGTCCTCTCACCTCGCTCCAGACCAGCATGGTGCCGAAGACGACCTGCAGGCCATCGAAGAAGTTGTCCCCGATGAGGATGACGGTGGCTCCGCCGGTCGTCCAGCCCTCGCTCGGGCTGATGGCTTTGATGCAGGGCGTGGCTGCTTCGAAAACATAGACGACACAACAGAAACATGAGTAATACAGTTAGAAACACAAAAGGAAAAAAAAGGGTTCTAATATAACGTTTCCTCCTTAAACAGACTGCGGCAAAAAGCTGGAAGCTACATCATTTCTACTGCAGCCTGCAAAGTCATTAACCCGACAACAACTTGGTTCAGGTAAGGAGATGCTAATGTAGCCATCATGGCTAGCTTGGAGGAGTGTTCAACAGCTGGAACCGTCTATTTAAGGAGATCTCATGGTCAAGTTCAGTAGCCACACCAACATGTTGGTGTTGAAATGAGGTTTCAGTTCATCAAGCTTAGTTTACAGTTTAGATTGGAAGTTTAAAATATCGTTCAACTTGTAGCTTTTGCTTTCGCATCATCAGGCCTGTTACAATAGGAGTGTGATTAGCCTCCAGTTTGGGTCCCAGATCACTGAATTGAATCTTCCCTCCTCCTAAATGAGTCCAGATCAGATTCCCGCCTTTGTTTTACTCTTTTATCTCTTCCTGTTTCCTGTTTCTGCTTCAATCACATCGTTAGAAAACGTCTCTCCATGTGAAGTGTCCTTGATAAAAACACTGATCTGCTGTGACCTCTGTTAACTGATCATTCTTGAATATGTTTTATTCCCAGAGAGCTTTCAGTCTGATTTCCCTCCTCACAGACCTGATGTACCAGCAGCCTGTTAATACATGCAAAATGATTGGTTTTTCCAGTGCCACACAGATCAATAAGGGGCTCCTCATGAACAGAGTCTCCGTGATGACTAGACTGAAGCCCCGGACTGTCGAGTCGGGTCGAGTCAGACAGGCGGACTGACTCCGGTTTACAGCCTTTTTCCCGGACCAGGAGTCGTTTTATTGGGAGGATGATTTTATATTCCAGTCAGAGCTCTGCGTTTTCCTTTTGTTTACTTTGAGATCTGATCCATAAAGCTGCATTCAGAAGCTCTATTAAACATCGCAGGAACAGTTTCTGCACTGAGAGAGGAGAGCGCGCTTTGGAGATGGATTACTCACGCTTAATGATTACCACCAGTAAGTTTAGGTGGTTCGTGCTTGATGGCTTAAAAGTATAAAGACTGAAACTTGAAGTTCAAGGTGATCACCCCTATAGTTCCCCCACAAGAGAAAGAGAGAGAACTATCTAAACTGTACAAATGAAATACAATTTCTGCAGGAGTTTCCATGCTTGTTTTGGCATTTTGTGTTCTTGTTTTTCTTGCTGTTGTATCAAAACAGGTCTCAATAGATACTGTTTGATTAGTATCAGAGTTTCCAAGTTGTACATTTAAATCGTTTGGGATCCCAGATGTAAGCCAATGTAAGCTACAGTCCTCCTCGCAGCTGCTGTGGGTTCAAATCCAATCTCAGCCCTTTGCTGCATGTCATCCCCCAAGCTCTCCTCCCAACATATCCTCTCTTTAGCTGTTCTAGCCAATAAAAGGAAAAAATGGCCAAAAAATTACATGAAAAATAATAAAAGTCAGGATATTTTTTAATACCAGAATGGAAAGCATGTAGGTAGTGAAGTGAGGAGTTATTTGGGGGCATGCAGGCTTCTGAACTTTATATCCAGTGTCTATTCTCAAAGACAATGTTATAGGACTGACGAGAAATTCTTTGGACAAACTTTTAAAAGTCGAGTTTCCGGATGAAAGGAAAGAAAAGAAAAGCTCCGACCCAACACAAGCAGCAGCAGCGGCAGCAGCAGCCGAGGGTCGAGGTTTTCCCGCTCCAAGGACTCGATTGTCATCTCCTTATTAATTTCCCTCTTTTGTCACAGCAGTAAACAAACAGGCAGACGGGTCTGAGGGGGGGTGCAGTTAGCATTGATGGTGTTGCCGGAGGTGGAGGGGGATTTTGGAGCACAAAGGCGAGGAGCAGGCGGTGGAAAGTTTTATCGAGGAGACGGGGAAGGCTGAGGGTTGGTGACAAAGGCGGGAGCAGATGTTGAGGCTTTTTATCGCCTTTGAAAACATCCCAGTCTGGATGAGATGAAAGACCCGGAGCTCTCCTCTGTGGGCTGAGATACAGGGACGTCTGGTAAACAACAGGCCCCCTTTTGGCCCCTGCAGGACACCGTACAGTACAGCGGCACACTCAGAACAACCTGACACTTCTGCACATGAATGTTTAAATGCTCAGTTGATACCTTTCCTCTCGGTGTTATCACAGGTGACAAAGAAAAACATCTCATCCTTATGAATGACATATTTGTGTCACATTTGTTTTATCCCTTTGGATGGGCCAGCCGGGTGGGGTTTGCTACACAGGACAGAAGAGTAAGATTGAGAAAAGTTACAGCGCTCACAGAAGGTCAGCTTATTCTGCTTTTTCTTTGATCAGTGATCTTATCCTGTCTGAACCACCCCCGCTGTGATAAACTCCGCCCTCCTGGTGCTGCAAGTAGGGTAAACCAAACAAGACAATGACATCATCTGCTCCTGGAAGAGCCTCAAAACATAAAAACAAGTCGAGGGGAAACTGCAGAAGCTGTCTTCTGGGAGGTGAAACAGAGAGGACACGACAGCTTTTTGAAGTCGAACTGGTGGCGTACTATTTGAGGGTTTGTTTGACTCACTTTTACGTCCCAGAGGGGTGGAGTTTACCTCAAAAGACTGCCAAGAAGACACAGAGTCAGTTTAATGAACTTTTTTTTTTTTTTTTTTTTTTTTTTGACTGGGAGGTCTATCTGATACTTTGTGATGCCCTCATATTGTTGGACCGACTCGGATGCTGTTCCCAGCAGGTTAAAACTGCTAAGCCTGGAAGAAAAGCCTTAAACTTTAGAGCGAGTTAAGGTAGACGGCAGAGCAGGATGTGAAACAGAGCGAATCTGATCTGTGCAAAACAATTTGAAGGTTCATTTTAGTGTCTTTGATGACCCAGAGGGGTAGTGAGGGTTTGGTTAAGAGAAGTAACTGATGAGTGTCTGGAAGTTCAAACTAAAGTGTATTAAAGGTATAATCTTTGTCAGGAACAAATTGTTAGATTCACAGATTTTAAACGTTTAAAGAAGTTTAATAAAGGTGACCCCATATAGACTCTCCTGTATAATTAAAACACTTTGGACTTCATTGTTTGGTGTTTTTTGTTGATAACTGATGAAAACCCCTGAGCTTTTAATATCAGGCTGGTATCTAACACTAATTTTACATGGTTTAAGTTATCATAAAGTTGGTATAAAGTTTTAGAGGGATTTGGAGAGCTTACCAATAAGGAGGCCCAAAACAGTGATGAAAGTTTTAAACAGATTTAACAAATAGCCAAGAGTTGGATAAGTTTACTTTTCTATATACATCTCTTTTCAAAATGATATGAAGCCTTAACATAATAATCTCCACCCGTCTGGTGTTACAAGATGAATGTAACAAAGTCCTTCAGAGACCCCAAACTGTTTAGTAAGTTGAGAGAATGTTTGTGGTGGTGATGTAAAAATGTTTGATTCATGTCAAAAGTTTGAACCAATATAAGTTTGTTTTAGTCTCCTGTTGGTGCCAGATGGGGGGAGTTTCCCCACACAGGACTAAAAAAGTTCCTGGAGGATTAGAAGAAGAAAAGTAAACTCTACTTTGGTCACTTTGACCCACATCTTTTCTGATGCAGTCTTAAACCCTGGTGCTGGTTTGGTTAAGCCCCACCCATCTGGCACTGAAAGTGTGCCGAATCAATCGGAGGACTTGTGTCATCGCTTCAGAGTGAGCCAGGAGGGATTTATTAGAGCGGGGACGGGGCAGAGAGGTATTAAAGTTTACTACTTCAGAGGAAATGTTACCTCTGAGCTGCGGCTCTCAGAGTTAAGTTTCATCGTGTGAAGTTTATACACGAATGATGAATTTTATTTGGTTGCTGCAGACGCTGGAAGAACAGAACGTTTGTTCGCCGTACTCTCCTGACAGAGCCGGGTGGATACCTGCCAGCAGCTGGAGGTTCCACAGAGACCTGCTTCACTCTTTAAAGGACAGTTTCCTTACATTTCGTCCTGAGCGTTCCTCTCTTTTTGGCTTTTGTCGCGTACAATACTGTATTCAGTTGTTCCAAATCAAAGCCTCCGAATATGGAAACTTCCAGTTAACACTGGAGAAGGTTTGACTTTGGTTTCATCTCGTTTCGCTTCATAAAAGAAACACAAAGGAGGTGTGAGAAATAAAAGATCTGTTTCGGTTTTTCTCAAGGCGTGAAGACTCTTGAGACAGAAACACGCCAGGTGCATCATGGGAAATGTAAGATCCAGGGTTTTTTGGACTAAAGGTCAAAATATTTCAAACTATTTTGATCAGATTTGGTTTTTGAGACGGTCATATGTGCAACAACTTTAATAGAAGATAACAGAAAATGATTTTAACCCTTCATGTGAAAAACAAGAAGGGTTAAAAGTGGACTCTAAAAGTCTTTGAGAGACTCTAATAGTCTGTGATAGTCCTAACATTTTCTGCTCGTCTCCGACAGCCTCTTGGAGTCTCTGAGATCCTCTTATAGTTTCTGGAAGTCTCTGCTAGCCTCAGAGAGGTTTTAAGAGTTTTTTTTAAGAAGTCTCTTATGGATTCTAAGATTTGTTTTGAATTCTTTGAGCGACGTCTAACCTTCAGAGGGGTCCAGGCGTCGGGCACGGCGGCCATGTTTGGAGTTGTTGTGGACGAACATGTTGTCTGACACGGCCAGAACGTGACCGTCCACGTTGACTGTAGTGGAAACCACAACCTGCAAACACACACAAACACACACACACACACATCAGGGCCAGTTAGAGCAAAGCCGGATCCGTCTGGACCAGGAGGAGCGGGAGGAGCGGGAGGAGCAGGTGTGTGTCTCTTACCTGAAACCTCCTCATGTCTCGAGGGTTTCCTGCATTTTTCAAACAGTTCTGATTGCACTTGAGGAAGAACTTGAGGAAGAATCTGCAGAGAAAAAAAGTAATAACACAAAACAGGTTCAGAGTCACAATCTGATTACCCACAATCCTTCACTGTCATTAAGTGCATAGAAACAAACACTGACTCAGGATCAGAGGAAACATCGCTCGGCTCAGTTTGACTTCACAGGACGTTCTTTTTACACCAGGAGAAGTTTCACATGGATTTGTGTTTTGCTATTCCCAATTCAAAAACACCAGACAACATTGATGAGGCACAGAACACAGGAGTTGCTGATCTTCTGCTCCCTGTAATGGTTAGATTTGTGTGTGTTATTGTTTTGTAAAACAAATTTTGCGTTGGATCCGAGATAACAATTTATTCCCCCTCTATGACATTCACATTATTCATTCATTCATATTAAAAGAGAGACATCATAGGAGTGCAAATATCACATCTAGGGCTTTCTTTGCCATGTTTCAGGTCTCATGTTGTCTCCGGTCTCTCGGCAGCAGATGACATTATCATTCTGCGGCGGCGTCTTCATAAAGACGGTGGACACTTCCTGCAGACTTATGGCGTCTCATTAGACACCGCCTTTTGATTTTCCCTCCCGCCTGTCCGATCTCTCGCCCGATGCGTGTTGATTTACGCCTGTTTTTACGGCAGCAGAGGAGTATTGATTGGGGACGGATATCAATGAGGACGGGCGGCAATAACCCGCAACTCAGCGAGGTGGGGGGGGGGGGTCAGAATGGATAGCCACCTTAATGCATTTCACACTGCCTTGTAATCTGTGCACATCCATCTCTCGGACCACCACCCTCCCGCCCCTCCCCGTCTGATGGAGCGCCTCCTTTTTTAATTGCCACATTATCACAATAATAATCCGGGCAGTTAACAAGCGGCAAGGTCGCAGACAGACATGTCACATTAACCAGGGGATAACCTCGGCAAGAGGACCTACTCCCAGCCTCCACCCTCCTCCTTCTGAGGATCCTTCAACGAGGCACGCTGAGAGAGCACCAGGAGGTGGGCGGGGTTACAAATGAGGTCGGCATTGATTTCCACCTTAATAGGACGGTAACAATATCCTTAAAAAACACACAGCTGGAGCTCAGCACGTCTGACAGCAGCTTTAGTCTAACCTCAGAAACGTAATCCCTTAAAATGGATCTTAAAAGTTCTTCATTGTTGTTGATGGATTGAATGACGTCGCAGAGTGTCAGAGTTTTAGGATTTGTCAAAATAACTGAACATCCACACAGTCGAGGTAGAGATATACTGGTAGGACTTTCAGGTCGGATTTAAAGGGACAGTTCAGCAAAATTAGCAACAGACAGACTATCGACAATTTGGATTTATTTAATTATGAGCTGAAAGATGAAACAGAGTTTGTTACAGAATGTTTTCAGCGTCAGAAATGTCAGAGATAAATCAAACTGAACTCTGTGTGAATATTTGCAGCTGCTTTTTTTATGATTTGGGTGAAATGATCCTTTAAAGGCACAGAGAGAGGAGAGAGATGGGCAGTGCGAGTGTGTGTGTGTGTGTGAGAGGGGTGTGTGTGTGTGTGTGTGTGTGTGTGTGTGTGTGTATCGACTGAAAGCTGATCTGCTGCTGTAATGCCCTTTATGGCAGAGAACAGAATAATGTGAAGCTCCATTCAGACGATCCCCGAGTCCTTCAGAGAGCTGATACCGATCAATACGGATCTAATTCACACAAAGACACACACTCTGGACCACAGACACACACATACACACAAAATACACAATATACACACACGCACAATACACACTCTGTACAAAAACCATACATTTAATACACACACAATACACACAAAACACACAAGCATACACACTTATACACACTGATACACACTGAGGAATATACACCCACATACACAACAACACACAGTGGAATATAAAGCTATACACACTAGTATGTGCACATGCTGTGAAAAAAAAATACACACACACGGAGCCATTCAGAGACACAAGAACGTACACACAGGCACACAACCATACACACACATGGACCCGTATCATTGTAAAAATACACACATATGCACAAAATGCACACACAATGCACACACAGATAGATACAAATACACACCAAGCTGCTCTGACAGCACTTCAGTGCACACACACTCACAGAAACTAGCAAAAACACAGGGGAGTGCACACACAAATACACACACATACACATTCTGACTACAATATACCAACAGGAAAACAGACACACTCACACATATACACAACAACAGACATATGAATACACACACAAACAACAACAACTTACAACAACACACATATAAACAAAAATGCATAAACAAACAACAGACACACTTAGGCACATTATCCCCACTCCTGTCTACACAGCTCTGTGTGTGTATATTTTTAAATACTGTATGCCCTTGTTGAGTGTGTGTGTGTTTCCTCTTAATGCACTTCCACTCTTCAGTGTGTGTGTGTGTGTGTGTGTGTGTGTGTGTGTGTGTGTGTGTGTGTGTGTGTGTGTGTTTTCAGTAAAAAATAATTTAATCTGATTATGACAGAAACATCACAGCTTCCCAGCAGCTGAGGAACACTTCCTGTTTTTGTTGTTATGTGTTGGATCTAAACTAACCTTTTAAAACCCTGACGTCACCACAACAACTCAAACTAACTAACTGATGGAAGCAGCGGTAGAGCAGCAACGCCTGTGCTCTGTGAAGTCAAAAACACTGTTTTTGTTCATAGAGTGTGGTGGCTTTGAAGAACGTTGTAACACCACCAGACTCCATGACTTAAAAAACTGTGATGTTGCCCTGCAGTAATCATAGAAGCTGCGTCTCCAACACTTCCTGGATCGGTTAAGTTTATTTGAGTTATTATGCAACTTTTGTGTTTTCAATTTGTTCAGATGAAGCACAATTTTTGTGCAGTACACAAACAACAAAACTAACTGATTAAAGCATTTTCAGCTCTGAAATTTGTGCTCTGCATGATGAAAGTCCACTTTAAAGTCGGAGTCACATCTTGACAGCTGCCTTGAACAATCTCATCCTCCACTCATGTATTTCATTTTCCTTTGGATGAAGATCACTAAGGTTCAGACTACACCTAGAGCTCCTGTTTCTATCCGTCAACACGAATAGACTCTAAACACCACAGTGAAATAGTCAAGGAGGACAGAGAGGAGAAAAGAGAGGAGGTGAAAGTGATGGTGGATCTCCTCTCTGATTAAAAACATATCAACACATGATAAATAAAGAGGAGGAGCGAACAGCTAGAGCGCACACAGGAGCTCCCTCTTCTTCTTCTTCTTCATCTGTGCCTCTTAAAGAGAAGGTGAAGATAATGAGAGAGATGGAGTCTGCTGGTGTCAGCTGTCACCTCATTACACCACCCGACAATCAATGACAGCAGGACACAGACAGAGAGAGAGAGAGAGAGAGAGAGAGAGAGCGAGAGGCGTGTACCATAGCTCTGAAATCACTGCTGCTCCTTCTGCAGGAGAGCAGAGAGATACAACATGCACCTTTACACCTGCAGAACTTAGACTTTCTTTTAATACAAAAATAGTGTTATTTAACCGGTCACCTGTTGAATGAGCTACATACTTGAATAAAGTGAAACATGCGATGACTTTTTAGTCATTCAAGGTGTTAAAGCTTCTGGTTTGGAGTTTTTATATCGATGAGGTCAAAACATTAGAAGGTAACCCAGTGTTTTAAACATACAAGTAAGTTTGGATTAAAATGAAAAACAAAAACTTGCACTTTATTGGCAAGAAAAAGGGTTTGGGGCTTTGTTTTTAAACCAAAAAATGACTTTAGAGCTCTGCACCAGCAAAATCTGACTCTAGAGGGGGACCTGCAGAGTCAGATTTTAAAGTGTAGGGCCGCTGACCAAGTTGCTGTTTTTAACAAGTCTGAAGTAGGAATGTCTCAACACATCGAAAGTTGAACGATGCTTAAACTACAAAGAGCGAATACTGTGGGAAAAATAAAGAATAGCATTTGTAAAGTGGAGACTTTCCTGAGAAGTTTAGAACTCCAATTGCAGCAACATTCAGACACAGATTAAAAATGCTTTGCTCCAATATAAATCTGTTGATGTACATTAGTAGAAAAGATCATTTCAAAAGGGTCAGGTTGCTCCATCAGAAACAACTCTCAGTAAAAGTTTGGGCAAAAATGAAACAATAAAGCCATCATGGAGGACGGATTTACAACGGGATTGAGGTACTGATTCTGTTTGAGTGAGGTGGCTCTGATGAACTGGATGCTCTTTGTGCAGCTGTATGTTAATGAAAGAGGAAACGTTATAAATCTGTTCATAAGTGCATTTCTCTGTCTGGTTTAACTGTGTTATTCTTTTTCCAGTTTTTCACCTGTGATCCTGAGTGAAGCAGGAACATGACGGAGGCAGCTAATTGTTCCAGTGGAGACGATTTAAAGGTAATTTAGCTCACAATGAGGTGGGGGGGGGGAGGAGGAGGAGGAGGAGGAGGAGGAGGAGGTGGAGGTGGGGGGTGATCTGGTCTGACTTCAGCGTTTTTTGACCGGCCACTCCAGATGATGTCACCCCGACCACACCCAGTGCACTATGGGAAGCAATTACATTGAGCTCAGATTACAAGGCCCTGATGAACACACACACACACACACACACACACACACACACACACACACACACACACACACACACACACACACACACACACACACACACACAGTTCATATGAGAACAGACACACTTTGAGGGCTAGGGAGGATGCTCACCACACACACACACACACACACACACACACACACACACGCGCGCGCACACACACACACACACACACACACACACACACACACACACACACGCACACACACACACACACACACACACACACACACGCACACACACGTTCCCTGGAGTCTCTCACTTATTACGTTAGGCAAGAAAGAAAAAGAAGCAGAAAAAAAAAATCAATATTTCAGCAGGAGTATTTTTAAAAGCTGCCGCTGCTCTCTCGCCTGCTCTCTCGCTCGCCCTCACAGTTTGACT